GAGAGAGAGAAAGAGAGAAAGAGAGAAAGAGAGAGAGGGGGAGAGGGAGAGAGAGAGGGAGAGAGAGAGAGAGAGAGAGAGAGACAGAGAGAGAGAGAGAGGGGAGAGAGAGAGGGGGGAGTGGAAAGGAGAGACAGTAATTTAAGAGAGAGAAAACGCAAGAGGGAAATCACATAGGTTCATACCCATTTTCACACTGAACATGCACGTGTTGCCTGTGTATACATGAATGTTTTAAGTGTCCTGTGTTGATGTTGAACCTTTGTATGCTGGTCTAGTTATATCTACCCAAATGTCCCTCATGGATCAAAAAGTTTATCTTATCATTATATATAAAGAAAAAATATTATCCTATTTTGTCTTAGCTTATTTTATTGGCTGTGAGTGGTTGGTGGGTGCTCTGGTACCGTGTGGTTTGCTTCTTCTTTCCTATAAAAGCTATCGTCCTTCTCTCTCCTCCTCCTTTTTTGTGTTTGTTACTCTGTTGTAACACCTCTAATCTGCAAGAGCCGTAAAACTTTTACTAAAACTAAATTGGCTTGGCTCAAGTCATCATCATCATCATCATGCCTCTAAGCATAATGACAATGGAGCCGAAAAAGAGCCTCGCTCTCGCCTGAAGATTTCTTTGTGGAGTCCACCAGGCCCATGGAGGAAAAAAAAAAAATCATCAATACCTTTCTCACTTGCATCAGGAGGCCACAAACAAACACTTTCAACCTTTCCCCATCCTGGGCTAGCCTCTTAATAAATTAATATTTCATGTGTGAGGAGTCATAGGCTCCTGTATTACCTGGGTCACAAGGAAATGAGAGCTAGAATAGCCTGGTGTTGTAAGGGTTTATAGTAAAGCCATTCATTTGTATAAATGCTGACTTTCTGAGCGCATGTGGTGAGAGAATGCACAACCAAAGACTTGAAATGTTAGAAAAAAAGGCTGCTAAGTGTTAATTAAAAATTTCCACTTAAATCAGTTAAATAACCACTGCAACACAGAATAATTTTTGTACTTTTATTCACCAGGAAAGGCAATGTTTCATCACTTAAACTAAAAACAAAAAAACATAAAATACTATTTTAAGTAGGCCTACAGGTAAGTTAAATTTGAAATTTCCGCGGTTTCCCAAATATGTATTTTTACTTGCACAACTTCATCAGCATCAATTCCAAGATGAAAGCCAACAATATTAGAATAATCTAAAATTTAGAAACTTTCCCAATTTTTTTCAGACATTATCCCAGTGAAACAAAAATTCTTTGCTTGCATCATATGTAACAGGTGATGACAAGAATATGTTGTACGGTGCAAAAAACTTCCCTGCTTTACTTTTTTCTTCTACTTACTCAAACAGACTGATGGTGTAAAGGGGGTAGTTTTTCTGAGTGAAGGTGAATCACTTAAAAATAGTTACAACCAAATTCATTAGGCAAAAATTAATCTTGTAATACAAAATTTATGTAATCTATAACATTTGCTTTTATCAATAAAAATAATTCACAGGCTAAAAAAAAAAAGAGAGAAAAAGCCCCATAAATGAGCAAAGTTTGAAAAATCAAACTAACATTATATCTCTTTGAATTTTCTTTCAGTGCACAAACATGCCAAACCATGGATTTCAATGAACAATATTGTTAAGTATTATACAGAACAGGGTAGACCTATATAAAATTCAAACCACAGAATTCATACGCAAGCAAATAGAAAAAGAAAAGTGCATCTTCATTCGTTTCTTCAGTTAAAGAAGCAGTATATTTGTTTAGGCTGTCCTTGACTATTTACTATTATGTGTACTTGCTCAGATCCTTTAATGAAAGTTGGTACTCCAGTAACAAGGATACAATTAGTACATAATAACAAGCACAATTGACAGAAATATGAAACCATTTGTTTTTAGAGCATGAATGCTGGATATCATGGTTTACTTCTGAAAATAACAAAATCATGTCTCTTGAAAGTAGACATTTTCTGTGTCATCCCAAGTAAGAAAGGAAAAATGCATGTTACATATTAACTTGCTGTCAGGTGAAGTTTCTAGCCACAAGTCATTTTGTCATAAGCTCTAATTTCATGAGTCTTTTTCTTTATACCTCTACATTCAGTTGTCATTTTCTGTTGGTCAACAAGAGGCTTTTAAATCAATGAAGTAAATTATGCTGGGTCTTCCATCATTGGAGCAGATTTTGAAGCTAGCATCACTGTGACCTTCCTCAAAACCGGCTGAGCGTGAGGAAACTCGGAGTTGAGTCGATCCACAATGGCGTTCAGGGACTGTACTCGGTCTTCTTGTTTATGAGACTCCAGGTCCAGAGCAGCTGGGGTGCGGCACAGCATGGTGTACTTCCCGTCTTTGACTTGCTGGAAATACTTCATCTTCTGTTGCCGGGCCAAAAGCTCAGTTAGATTCTGTGAAAAAGAAAAGGAAACCGTAGAAAACAAAACATTAAATGTGCTATTCACGTTAACAATATCCATGAGTGGCAAAATTTAAAAAAAGATAGGAGAGTAAAAAATTATCAGAATTCTCATTTTTCATCACCTCTAACCCAGCAAATATAGTTATTTTGAGGTGTTGCTTCTCTTGTGATTGTCCTTAATACATAGTGAAAAGTCAAATAAAATCACAAAAATATCTGCTTCAGTGACTATAACCTTTATGTGACATTGTGGTAAAGAGATGAAATCCTTTTTAATTATATAAGCAAATGTTAATGCCAGCAGACTTATTCTCTCTTTCGGAGTGAAATATGTTAAACAAAAGATTCTCATAAAGTACAAACCTTTTGTTTGACCTCTGCAGTTCTATCGACATCTCCATCCAGAGTATCGGAGGAGCTCTGCAGTTGTTGGCAGTTGATCTGTTTCTCTTCCAGCTGTTGACTCAGATTTTGCTGGTGGTCCCGCAGCTCTCGTATCTCTGTGTCACAGGAGTTGGCATCCTATTTATAGGAGGAAAGAAAAGGGAAATTAGTAATAAATACACACATCATCATCATTGCCTTACTTTCTCACCCTAGATCAGGATATAGGCCATGGACAAACAATTTCCACCTTTCCCTATCCTGGGCCAGCCAATCCGATGCTTTCCTAATAAATAAACACAGTTCAGTTGTATTTGCAGACTGGCGTCCATGGTGTAGTGGGGGCTTTGCCATTTCATGCAGAAGATCTGAATTAAATTCCCCTGTGGGGTGAATTTTTCTTGAGAGTATTGATCTTTCTGCAGTGATGTTAACCTCCCTCCCAGCTTTAAAGTCAGTGTTCATGAACAATAACATGTATGTTTACTACTTTTGTAAATATGGTCACAGCTGGGTTTTTTTGCACATACAACAGCAGCAATAAAAATTTCTACATGAATTAATTATTAGTCTCACCTGTATGGTCTGCTTGATTTTCTTCCTCAGCTCTCCCATTTGCCTTTCAAACGTTCCCTTAGTGAGAACTTTTTTCTTCATTTTAGACTGAGCATCTCCTCTTGTCAGAATTGTGTCACGCCTTGGAGAAAAAAATCAAGAAAAAACCAATAAGTTTCAACATCTGTTAAAAATGTACTATGAGCCTGGCAACCCTTGATAAATTAAATAAGAAATAAGTGCAAAAACACTCAAGCGAATCCAAACAGTAAGAAATTAAAAGAATAGGAATGAATAACTATATCATTTACTGTCCAACTTGTATAATTATTTTCCTTGTTAATCAGTGAATTATATTTTTTGTTACAGTCAATATAAAATGTAAGAAACCAGAAAATGTTATTACAGTTACACTGCACAAGCATCCACAAAACTTTCTAGTCCCTATACATCCGTATCATACAACGACATAATATCTTTTTCTCAATCTTATGCTTGTTTTAGTAAGAGTAATAGGGCACTTGCAATGCGATAAGGTCATATAGGTGCTGAAGATTAGAGGTGTAAGCAGAAATTTACAAACACAAAAAAGAAGGAGAGATAAGGACGATAGAAGTTTGACAGGAAAGAAGGAGCAAACCACACCAGAGGATCCACCAACCACCAATCCCATGCAACAAGACATTTCTATCACTTCACTGTTACCTAGAAACAGCCTTTTCCATGTCTTGAATCATTTTCTCTTGCTGTTTCATGAGTTGAGAGTAGCGCACTTGCATACGATGAATTTCCGACTTCATAGCCCTCATTTCACCCTGGCCAACCTCCGAGTCTACGGCAGCTCGCGTTTCTCTGGCTAACTGTGTCTTCTTTTCCCACAGCATAATCTGTCGTCTGGGGAATAATATGATGATGATTATGATTATAATAACTTAAAACCATTAAAATGTAAGAAAATAAGGAATTACGAGTAAGTTACAAATCGGTTCAACAACATATATTTCCTAACAGAATAAAATTCGAATGAATCAACGTTTCCAATTTTCATACAGTGTAATATGGAATATGGAATATGGCTCACAATAATAAACCCCCAAAAATGAAAGACTACATATTTGTAAATTTTTATGTGCATCAAAGCCAGTTGTGGCAAGATATAGCATTACATTGAAAAAAATTACACAACAGTGATGATTTATTCTTATACCTAAATTCAATTCTGGCTCGATGACCCCAGAACTGATTGCCACGGTTCGATGGAATTTTAATTTACAGCTCGACTAGGTTATCTTTACAACATATGCTTCAACTCGAGACAAAAAATGGACATAAACGAAAGAGTGCAGCTTCCCTCAGAAAAGCTTTGTTTAAAGTTTTATTTGCATTCTTAGCTGTTTAGAAGAGAAGCCACCAATATTGCTATGCATCACACCAACCGCAGGGAGCTGCTGCCCGTCATTTTGGGAATGAGCTTCGGCTGCTGGGAGCCACAGCTCACGTTCAATGCATTAACAGACAGGCTCTACTTACTCTGCTTCTACAAGACTATTGAGGAGCCGCTCCTTCTCCTCTTTGATTCCATCAAGCTTGTTTTGTAGCTCAATGGACTCTAGCTCAGCATCCTGGACAAAAGAACCAGTGGCATAATAAATCAGAGGATTTTTGTCTTTAAAAAAAGTAAAATCATAGAAAATCACTGAGCAGAGACTACGTATTTTCGTTTGCAAAAAAAAAAATTGCATGTGTGTGATAATCAAATAGTAGGGTTACCTGTCAAATGTACTGCACTTCTGCATTTCAAATATTGACTTGACTTGCATCTGAAATATTGTTTGCTTTTTCCTTTTATTTCAATTACAAAAATACTAAGATCATGAAAATAGCGTTATAGTTCCGGCAGAATCAAACAGACCTGTTGACACATAGATTTTGTTAGCTTTAAAGTAAGAAAACAGTCATTTAAATCTTCTAAACTGCACATAAACTAATTCATCAATTCATTGGAATTTACCTTCAGTCCAGCTATAAAAGCATTCTCCATCAAAACATTTCCCTGTTCCAGCTCATCGCCAACACTTTTCTCTTTATGCAGCAAAGTGTTGAGCTTGATGATGTCATTGCGCATGTTACGAACGTTACGCTCAATATCACACATCTCTCTGTGTTGTTGATCAATGTCATCTGAAAATGAAAACAAGTTTTAATTTTCGTCATGACTTTAATTTTAGAAAGAATTTAATGGCAATTGTAACACAAATTAGGTCTTATAGGTGCTGAAAATAAGAAAAAGGAAGGATAAACCACAGTAGATTATCCACCAACTACCCACTTCATGACTAGAAGCGAGATAAAGACAAGACTGAGAAAACAGAAAAGAAAAAAAAAGTACCGTACCATCAATTTAGCATATGATTGTGCAGTTGACATCATTGAAGAAGTTGTCTACAGTAAGAATTGAAATCAGCTATAACTTAAAGATTTTGTTCAATTTTCCCTCTTTCTCTAAGTTTATTTTTAAAAATGTCTAAAAATTGGAATGTCTATGCTCACTTTGTCCGGCAGAAGTCATTGGTAACATAAAACATTAGATTCTTTAATAACTTTTCTTTACTTAAGGTTAACAAGAATAAAACATACAACACTCGCATTCATTTTGGCCAGCCGAAAATGTCGACAACAGAACACGTAGAGCCACTCACTTTCAGTCCTGATCTTCTTCTGGCTGAGGATGGTGAGTTGCCTCTTACAGTTGGTCAAGCCCTGGATCTCCTTCTCTTTGGTGTGTGACAGTCTCACCAGCTCGCTCTGTTGCCGCAGCCACTGCTGCTGAAGCTCCATGATCTCCTGGCTACGAGCTTCAATAGACTTTTGCAAAGAGTTGATTTGCACCTCCAGGGGACCAAGTTCTACTCCCTGTGTATAATATATAGGCCTATATAAAAGACGAATCATGAGCAATTTCCTCTCCCATATTGAAGGTAAAAGTCATCCGTTACTTTAAAAATATAAAAAAGCAAAAAGTGAAAAATACTAAGAAAACAAAGCCCAATGAGTGAGAATTGTGATAGGAAAAAGTTTACAAAAATATCATATTAACCTCCCATTTGAAACATCATTGTACCGTTTATTCAATTATAATGATTAGAAATAGCTTTGATATTCATTTCTGACAAAGTGAACCCTAATATTAAAATATAAGTTTTCTTTCTTTCTAACACTAATCTTGTGTGCTCCTTATAGACATACTATCATTGTGTCATGTGCAAGATGGACCCCCCCCCCCTCCCCAACTCTCCCCTAAAATAAAACTATCACTATCATCCAAGCAAAACTGAGTAGGCTACTTACCCCAGCAGCACTTATCATCTGGTTTAGCTTTTTGTTCATCAGGTCCACTTGATTCTGCTTGTTCTCAATGATGGCATTACGCTTCACGATTTCCATCTCCGACTTGTTTATGATGTCATTTTGACTTTTGATCTGGTCGTCCAGTTCCGCCAAGACCTTCTTCAGCCTGTCTACTCTAGTTCTAACGTTTACAGTCTCAAGGGTAGACCCTGCTATTTGGTTCTCCACATCAGCAATCTCTGTTTCCTGCAATTGATAAAAGCATTTATTATATTATATTGAACATCAAAGAGCTAAGCTGTTATGTCCCTAGATAAGAATGCCCTCCAATTAAGCAACAGTATGAGTATACAACTGAAGACTACAAAGGTAGGGGCAGACCACGAAAAACTTGGCTGGATGGCATTAAAGAGGTCTTTGGAGTAACTATCTATTACAGAAACAACCCACCTAGCCCTTGACTGAAAAATGCACAACCTTCAACATCTTATGATACAAGAGGAAAGAAAGAGTAAAAAGTGAAAGTAAGATAAAAGCATGATGCTAGAAGCGTCTCTGTTTGACAAACTGTGAATTTAGACATGATCCAAGGCTTCCGACAGTAATCATTACTCTAACATTTTGACTCATTTAACTCATTATTGTATATTTAGAAAATGAATTATTAAAAATATAACTATAAAAGAATGATTTTTTTAGACAGCAGAAGTTTCTATTGCTTAAGGCCATGACCCCTAAGTGACTGCTGACAAGTACGCTCATCTTGCAGCAGTGCCTTTTAAGTATTGAAAAAAGAACACTTGTTTTGAAGAAAGATTTTTTAAAAACCTGTCCCATTTCTGTATCTAATCCACATTCTCTGATCGTTCACTAAACAAGTAATTTATACACCCCTTTTTCATTAGGATCAAAACTATTCCAATCTTACTGATAGAATAGGATGTTTTTTTCTCTGAAAGCTTATAGTTGGCAGCCATTATCCTGATCAATCTGTTAGCTTCCAGATGGCTAGTGATAAATTATGATGTTAAATAATAGCAGGATTTGATCAAAAGACCTTTAAAACTCCAAACTAATTTATATAAACCTTGCTTTCACAGCTCTTGAATTTTGACATGAAAAGATTCAATAGGAACGAAAATTACACAATATTCATAATCCATCCAGCTTAATGAAGAAATTTAACTACTTAAACCTAAAAATATTAGACAAACTTAAGATTTCACAAACTTTTGTAACAAAACACATTGTGTGAAAAAAGTCACAGAAAGATTTGAAAGAAACTTAGACATTATAGGACAATGACACATACATACCAAATGCTTTGTGCGGTCCCGTGTTTTCGTGGTCAGTTTCTTGCTGTACTGAGAAGCCTTTTCCATGGTAAGCTGAGCCCTCATGCGCTCCAAGATGTCATCCTCGAGTTTAACTTTAGCCAAAAACTCTTGCTCAATCTGCTTTCTCAGAGAGGCCACCTCTGTTGATCTAAGAGTGCGATCCTGTGAGGAAAAGAGATAATACAATATTGGTTAGTTTTTATAAGAGTTTTATGGCACAAATAAGTCATGTAAGTACCAAAAATTAAAGGTGTTACTTGAGAGTAACATTCAAAGAAAACGAGGAGCGATAAGGAGAGGTGTTTGAAAGGAAAGAAAGAGCAAACCAAACCAGAATGCCTGCCAACCATCCATGGCAATGTACAGTTAAACCTGCCTTAACATAAACCTGTGTAAAACAGAAAGCTGTCTTAACGGAATCTCCCTGCTCCCCCCTTGATATATTCCTCTTTAATTACCTGTATAAAACAGAAACCTGTCCAATGCAGAAACGGAAAGAAAAATCTGCTCTCTGCCGAGGGTTTTACCTGTCTAAGATGGAAAATGCTTTGCCTGCTCAGCCCTAATTTGAAACAAAACTCGCAAGTTTGGTTCCACCGGCTCTTAACCTAACGTCATGCCGCTGGGTGAGGAAGGGGAGTAGGGGTGCAATTTGGGGGGTAGATGGTACAGTTACCCCCTCTATGTGTGGCCTGAGCGATGCAGTTGGTCAAGGTGGTGTAGGTGTGAAATCTCACAAGTGACAGTGAAAGCGCTTGAGTAGCGAGCCATCACAGAGACTTTCCTGGGTATCCAGAAGCCAGAGGTGTGAAAAATTAGTTTGCCCAATGTCTGCCGCCCTGATAGAACGGCTAGCTGAGAAAAGAGTTCTCCGAATCGTTTTTACTTGGCAGTGAGTGGTGGCACTGGTTGAATGCGCTTCATACACCGATGGGTGGGGCTAAGGGTAGAAGCAAAGGAGATATTCAAACATTTCTGTTTTTAATAGGTTAAACAGTGGTCCTATGAAAAGCAAGCACTGGTGGTAATGGATAACTAAGACTGACACATGTCATTATCAAAGAGGATAGCAGTTGAGAGGTGTGAAGCTTTGACCAATGCTTGCCGACTGGACAAGCGACCCTTAATCCCACCGCCTGGGCCTTTTGTTTTAGTTTATTTTAGTACAGGTTTTACGCCTTTTAAAACCCCCTCCATCTCACCCCTAAATTCCTTGTCTAAAACGGGAAATGTCTAAGAGAGAATTTTTTTTCTGGCTCCTTTGCGATTCCGTCTTACACAGGTTCGACTGTATAGGGATACAGACATTATAAAGCATTATCAAGAAAAAAGTACTAATAGTTCTGTTTGCTTGCGTGCTTTGCATTTTCATTTTTTGTTTGAGAAAATATTTATGCTACTTCGTTTACACAAAGTGAAACATGCCAATAGAATAAGTCCCTAAGATTGTAGGATCTAGAAATGTCCTGCAATACAGTAGTCTCCGCCTAAAATCCCGGTGCTCGGGAGCAAGGAATTGCGGGATCTTAGGCGAACCGGGATCTTAACCGACGAACCCAGGGAAGAGTCTATGGTGACCCATGTTAAGGCTCACAATCGGTAAAATGGTCTCCCTCCACTCTACAATGAACTGACGTGTCCCCTGGGTGGGTTTAAGACGTATGGCGAGCAAAGAGTGGTTAACCTTGATGACCTATCACAGTGCATAGTGGGATGAGCGTGCCATTTTCACTTATTATCCTATCATGAGTCTCAAGATCTATGCTTATCCATTTGCCCCTCCCCTATACCTGTCGAAAATTTATAGATTTCCATCTTTGGCCGAGTCCCCCCCCCCCCCCCCACCCCGCCTTTGTCGTTACACACCATTACATTGTGAACACACCAATTAAAATTCAGTCTGTCTCACAAAGTCGGGAGTAAAGACAACTGCTGCAATGGGCAGGGAAGAGTTCACAGTTCGATGTGATCCCGCCTGGAGCGAACGTGTAGGCCCTACCCACCCAGCGAGTGATGCAAATTTAGGGGGAGAGCTCAGGTGTGAGTGCGATGTGTGGGGAAAACAAACGCGTCGGTCAGTTCACACCCCGGTGTGATCCCGTCTGGGGCACACATTGCATCGCTTCATCGAGTTTTACAACATGTATGTGATCACATTCCCGATAGTGGCTGATCTTTGACGCGGACGGACAGTTTATTGATCTCAACTTTTCACTCTTGGTTGACCGGCTGTGCCCGCCCGGGTTTTTGTTTCGCAAATTATGATCTGAAATGCGGGATCTTAGCCGAATGTAGACCATCAGAGCGGGATCTTAGGGGTGACTTTTGTATAGTAAAAATTCTGTTTTCCTAAAACAACGGGATCTTAAGCGAACCGGGATCGTAAGCGGTGGGATCTTAGGCGGAGACTACTGTATTTATGAAAAAATAGAAAATTTCAAATAATTCCTTCACTGCTATTTACATATGCATATGACAGGGACAAAAGGTTTATTGAGAGAACTGAAAAAATACAGCAGGACAAAAAGAATGTGATAATGACAACAAACATAAAAACTGATAAAAACATGCAAAAAACTATTGTCCAATAGCATTTATGATGACTCTCACAACAAAAACAACAAAACAAAAACTCATCAAATAACTCACAGCAGTGGCTCTGGCAAGGGCTTGCTCAGTTTCGTGCAACATTCTCGTGTATGTCGTGTACTCAGCTTTGAGAGCATCGTGCTTAGCTTGAACCTGTAAAACAGTATGAGAAGAAAACATTATATTTTGTCACTCTTTTTTGCTAAAAAGACTTACTCTTTTTCCCTTCAGATTGCAAAGGGCTGTCAATGTTTTCTAAATGAATAAACAACCAAGTTAAGTTCTTTGTGCTATTGTAAAACGCACTAAGCACTTTCCCAGTGGAAATTAACTATATAAATGCAATTTATCATTATTATTATTGACTTATCTCCCCATAAAACTTGAAAATTTAAAATCAATGAGACCAAGGGGAGGAAATGGGTATAATTGGTAATTGGGGAGGTAATGACACTTTTGTAAAAGTTGAAAAGAAGTCCACAATTTCCTACTGGACATCAAATTATAATAATAATAAAAAGAAGAATTGCATTTATAGGCCTACATTTATTATAATTATTATTATTCTGACAATTACAAATGCTGAAAGTAACATGGTACACAAAGACAGGTTTCGACTTCGTTTTCCAAGGGAATGTCGTAGCACTCCCCTGTACAACGGCCTCACTCTTTTAAAAATCACTTTAAAAAAATTAAACTCTGAATCAAGATGACCTTTCCCTTAACCAAGCTGACCAGTTCTCCATTTTCTCAAGGAGTCGATAAATGTAAAAAAAAAAGAATCTTTGATAAGAATAAAGAATAATCACTCAGCTACCTACCTGAACCATGTGCTTCTTGGCTACTTCAATCTCACGTTCCGTCTTGTTGAGGATTAGTGTCAGTTTCTCATTTTGCTCTTGCTCCTTTTGAATGGATTTTTTGTACCCTTCTATTTCTGTAGCCAGAGAGAGAATGTGCTGCTCTTGTTGACTGATGAGACAAAACAAGAACTAACATTTAGATTTGCTCATGTTAAGGCCATGGACATGTGAGCGCAGTAGGTGGCAGTAGAAGTCATAGTTTCTGGCTCTACAAATATTTGTCAGCACATCCTGGAATCCACACAGAAATTTGTTTTCACGTGGAAGTAAAAGGTGTTGAGCCCCACCCCAAAATTATTTGATAAAAATTGCCCAATGTGCAGAAAAATGTCTGTTTCTACAATTTCATCATTTTGACCAGATTTTACCGTGATGCCACAAATATGAGTAGTAAAACTATGTTCATTGACATAGAAATAACATAAACAAAGTTATCTGAACCTTCTAAAAAATGCAGATAAAATGCACACCCAGCAAGAAAACAACACAGTTAAGTTTTATACTTTGCTGAATCACAAGATGGATTGTTGCACTGCTACTCACTATTTGAGATTATGAATAAATGATTATTTATTCACAGGTGTTGGGATTCACCACTGTTAAAATGATAAAAGAATGGGGTTCACTGAGGATATCACATTTAAAGTCCAAGGATTTTTTACGTAGAAAAGGCCATATGTGACAGGTGCTGACAAAATGAGTTGCTTCTTGGATTCAAGCCTTATTGAAATATATACAGCACACTTATTATGGGTGAAGTTTCTACAGTTTAGAAGTATGAAATAAAAAGCAGGTTATACTTGAAGAATATGGCATCAATAGAAATTCTACAAATTTGATCCTAGTATCGATTTATGGCCAATATCTCCACTAGTGGATTGCGAGAAGTAACTCATTTTGTCAGCATGTCTCACATATTATAGCTATTGGGTGTGTGAGATAAAACAGTGGATCACAATTATTGCCTTTATAGGAAATACTTGAAGGCAAGATGTGGGGCAACATGATTAAGGGTAGATAATGAACAAAGTGGACCGATAAAATTAGGGCATGAACTGGCCTAAATGTGCATGACTGTAGCTAGTGACCAAAAGTAACGGCAGGTCATTGAACACTAACCCCTGAGCCAGATATGACACCTTCTGCAAATCGGTAAATTCTTGTCTTTTGTCAGACATAGAAACATGTTAAAGAACTTACTCAAGAGCTTCTTGCGTTGCAGAATGGGCCTCGTCTCTGCGCCTCATACCAATGAGAGAGCTGTTCCATTTCTGATAAAGGTCCTTCTTTTCAAGAGTGATAGCCTGCAGAAAGCACAACATACTGAGTCTTGTCCTGCTAATACAATCATAAAAGGAAATGAAAAAGTCGTTTGGAGTGTTAAACTGATGAGATTTTAAATAACAATCCGTTGTTTTTTTCCCCTCTTTCATGATACATCTTTTCTCCTCAAACTGTTATGTTGCTAGTCCATTGGGGGGCATTTTTTTTCACTGTTAACAGTTTGCAATAAAGATGCATGAAACATAAAAGACATTTTCAATAACTACTGAATGATATTGAGGACTTCAACGATTGAATGGCAATGTGAAAGACCAAAAACAGAAGTGGCTGACCTCAATCTGTGATGGAAGGACAAATACTTGCACCACTTTATGACAGTATATATCTCAACAAAGACAGCGATTATGTGGAACATTAGCTGAAAGTATAGCACTGACAAAAATAACAATAAAAAAAGAAATTTCAGTTTTCTTAATAAATGAAACAACAATGCAGCCACTACTTTGTGAACCAATCTCATAAAATCTCACAGAAAAGTCAAACCTCAATCTCCATGTAGGCCTCCATGAGGCTCTCCTTGGCAGCCTTTGTTTCCTCTGACTGAGCACTAATCTGAGCTTCGTACATGGCAATCTCTTCCTTCAGCTTGTCCACTCTTTCCACCAAGCGGTCGACATACAAGTCCTGGTATACAAAAGAATATCTTTGTCAGTATTCTTAGTTTTAGTTTTAGTAGAGGTTTTACAGTGCTCGCAATTGCATAAGGTCATATGAGTGCCAGAAGATTAGAGGTCTTACAAGAGAGACACAAACATAAAAAAGAAGAAGGGGAGATAAGGACGATAGATGTTTCATAGGAAAGAAGAAGCAGCAAACCACACCAGAGCACCCATCAACCACCCACGTTTGTCAGTATTCATGAAAACACCCACAGGGTAAAAGATCAAGAGGAACACCACGTGGAACCTGAGAAGAGTCACGGAAATGGATGTACCGAAAAGTGGGAAGACATGGAGTGACATCAAGTGACTAGTGATAGGGAAAGGTGGAAAGTGTTTGTGGCCTATATCCTGATCCAGGGTGAGAAAGGCAATGATGATGATGATTCATGAAAACAAAAATCCACAACATTTCTACGGACTACATTGTAAGAATAAATGAATAAGGGGTGGTAAGGTAAAGTGAGAAGAAGTGACTTAGGAGGGACTCCAGCCATAAGGTCCAGGCAATTAACTTTTACTATTATCTACAAAATTAGTCTAATGTAGTAGATGCTTACAGTAGACCTTGACAATTATCCCCCAGTAATTTAGAATACTCTCTTCCATTAGTGGTCTTCTGTGTAACTTCTGCAGATGCCACCATTTCTCCTTATTTCCTCAGCATATGAGCTAATTTGTCCACTTAATTTGATTTCACTTTCATTCTTTTGTCATTGAGAGTCATCTTCATGTTGTGCTATTGGCGGTGGAAGGTGTTTCTCTTAGGCTCTTATTCTAGTCACACACGAGTATCTCACCCTTTTGAAAAGGTTTATATGTAACAGTTGCTTTGACAATCTTCAATTTCTTACCCCAACAACTTGTTCACATTCTATGTGATGACAGGAAAAAATCTGGCTACAAACAGCTTTTAGTCAAGAAAATTTTTTTTCACTCTTGCCTGTTTTTGCTTGTCCATTTCTGCGCGGGAGACTTCAGACTCCACTTTCTCTGCTGCACGTCTCATCACAGCTATGTCGGACCTGACATCCTCCTTGGCATTTTCCATGTAGAACAACCTCAGAGCCAAGTTCTCTACTTCACTCTGCAGCTCTGAGCCTGTTTGAATGGTTCAAAATCATTAATGATGTGTTCAGTCAGGATGTGACACTGGGTAATGGTAATAGATGAAGCAAGTTTACTTCAGTAAACATAGAGCATCAGCTTCTGTCAGGTGTTTTGCTGTTGCACACAGGAGACATGAGTCTGATTCCTGAGTGAAGAGAATTTACACCAAGTATCTCGGTCTTTCTGCTGGGATATTGTATCCCTCTCAGCTCAGGCTGGCCCTGACACATAAAGTCAAAGGCCGCCTTTTAAATGATCTAAATTGTGTTGGGGGACAAAGAAAGGAGGCGAGGGTTTGTGAAAACACTATATTTTAAAAAAGAAAAAAATTATTTTAACTTAGAGCTGTCATTTCTTTGAAATGATATTAATTAACATCCTGACATGAAACCTACCATGCATGGTTAATGTGATCTTTTCCAAAATGTATGTATAATTGTAAAGGGAAAAACAAACAACTGAATTGCAAGTTGAAACGTAGTGCCCCTATAATCCATATCAGTTCCCTGAAAGTTTTTTGTAAAACAATTTAACTTAAAACTATTCCTTTTCTTTCGTTTAAGTTTTAGTTTGAGTTTTATAGCACCTGCAATAGAAATAGGCAGTAGGTCCTACACGTGGTAAAGATTAAAGGTATTTACAAGAGAGTAACATACAAAGAATTATTAAGGAGGAGAGATAAGGACGATAGATGCTTGACAGAAAAGAAGGAGCAAACCACACCTCCAGAGCTCCCACTATACCCACTGCACTTCCTTTCCTTTCAGCTTGCTTCAAACTGATTGAATTTGTATAGGCAACTATCTCTTAAGAATCCAGTTACTATTTCTATACGGAAATACTGTGTTACAAGAAAAAGGAATCTAATTTCAATGAATGTACAGAGGAGTCCACTTAAACCGAACACGTTTAATCTGAAATTAGCAGTAAACTGAAAGAAAACACAATCCCCCAGATTTTTTTCTCTTTGGGCAATCTATCCAATCTTTCTATACTGAATACCCGGCTAAACTGGGGAAAATCCAGTGGTCCCAAAGATTTCAGTGGAAATGGATGCCATTATAGTTATCTATGTCATGTTTGTCAAATCTTTACATGTTTAGTAAACCTTCTCAGCCCAAGAGGTAAAAACTTTGTTTACACACAGAGGGGCATAGGTCTGGTCACAAAAAGTGAGTGGTGCTTATAGAAAGTTAGAGGGATTAAAACTGTTATGCAAAGTTCCCTAAGTAAAATATATTAAATCTCTTGAAAAAAAGAAACTAGTATGATCTGCGTTTTAAAAGAAAGAAATTATGTTTCCTCACTAGCAAAATTGAAGGCAAATGAGGCAGGGGTAGGCCCAGAGCAATCTACTTAGGGAACCTAAAAAAACGGGTAACGGGGAAAGATCAGGGAAACGTAGCTTTTTTAAGAGCATCCGAGCAAATGAATGAATGGAGAACCATGATCGCCGATGTCTGTCGCAGATCTGGCACTGGATGATGATGATGAAATTACGTCACAGCTAACCCTTCCCTGTCCCAAAAATAAACTCAAAAGCAGATCAAAACTAATACCTTACCTTTTTTCTTTTCTTTGTTCACAATAATCTGCGAGTCCTTGTACAAGCCTCGGACATCGTTCAACTCTTGTTCCTCTTTCTGGCGCTCCTGCTTCAGGCCAGCAACATTGTCATGCTTTTGCTCAAGCATCATCTGAAAATATTGTTTAATTTGAGTAAGGGTTTTCAGGCACTTGAAACACAAATAGGTTATATAAGTGCCAAAGATTAGAGGTGTTTATACTAGACAGCACATACAAAAAAAGAAAGAGGAGAGATAAGGGAGAGAGATGTTTGACAGGGAAAAAAGGAGCAAACCACACCAGAGCACCTGCCAACCACCCACTTTGAAAAGGTTTTAGTGCAACGCCATGGAATTGAATAGCAAAAGACAAATTTGAAATGGTTAATTTGTCATAATTTTGTGTAATGCAGAAGCTTTTTGACATGATTACAATAACACGGATAGAAAGCTTTAAAGACATACACAATAAATAGACAGCTGTGTTTAATTGGGGCATAATAGATAGTAAGTCAGCAAAGGAACAGCTACATGTACCAGGAACAGAGTGGGACAAAAATAGCACAAAAGTAACACAGGAACAAAGTGGGACAAAATAGTAACACAGGGACAAAGAGCTATTTCAGTGGGACAAAAGTAACATGAGAAAAAAGAGGGACAATAATTACACAGTTAAAGTGGGACAATAGTAACATAACACAGGATCAGAGTGGGACAAAAGTAACACAGAATAGAAGACAAGTAGCTGTCCACACAAGACAGCCCACAATAAATAGAGACAAGAAAGATGAACAGAAGAAAAACTCCTAAACAAAAGATGTCAAAAAACAATTCTGTTCTTTCCTTCTTTCATACTTGTCCATCTCTTGTATCTTACAGTTATATTCATACTTCACCTGTCATCTGCCAGGCTCACAAGCCAAGCTATAAGAGATGACCGAGAGTTGGACTTTGACTAGTGAAGGCGTTTTGAGAGCATTCTACTGTGTAATAATTTTTGTTTTTTTATCTAACAATCTAATAATATTGATTGCAAAGCTTATAGAGCTTGCTGTTGAGTAGGAATTCGCACTATTTAAATTTAAATGCTATCTAAAAAGTTGTTCCCACATCCGATCCGGACATAGGGGATTGCCTTGTTAGGGAGACAACTTTTTGGACCTTCGGCATACTTTTCGTACGGTGGCCAGTTCCTTTCCATGCCGCCTTTACTTCCCCATCTCGAAGTCAGGTACCTATTACTGCTGGGTGGGCAGGAGGTGGCAAAAAAAATCTGTATCCGAACCGAGGCTCGAACCTGGACTTTCCGCTTCGGGACGAGGCAACTAACCGCTCTACCACTGCACCCTCAAGAGCTATCTATTAACTAATATTTTTATCAAAAAAGAGTTCTATGGCATTTGCAAGACAAATAGGTAATTTAAGAGTCACAGATTAGAGTTGTTACTGAGGAGTCCCATTCAGAGAAAAAAAGGAGAAGAGATAAGGATGACAGATGTTTCATGGGAAAGAAGAAGCAAACCACACCAGAGCAACTGCCAATTCCCCATGTAATGAGAAATGAAGTAGAAAGAATCTGAAGTTCATGAATTAAATTAACTCCTACACCTTATCCAAAAAAGAGACAACAAACAACATTTGAAAGTCCTATCTCTCACTTTGAAAATAATGGTGCATTGCAGTTGGAGTTGTATCTAGATTTTAGTTCGAGTAAAGAGAAGCACACTGATACAATAACAGTCGTTCAGAACAGAGGAAAAGTAAGAAAGACAGACTTTTAAAAAATCAGAGGGCAAAAAAAAAGGTAGACCCCACCGGTAGTACTTTCCAAACACCCACCTTGTCTAAGTTCCATTGAAGAACAAACTTCAAGTTTTAAAAGCTGCTGTAGCACTTCAAAATTTGCTTGACCGTGCAATCTTACCTGGTATCTAGCTAGCTCCTGCTGAACTCCATATAGATCCACTCCAAGATCTTCACGCTCCTTCTTTTTCACTCTCAAAGTCTCATCCTATGTATAGGGAAAGAAAAAAAACAAATTGACAACAAAAAGAACTCTCTTTCTAAATTGTCAAAATATTTAGGGAAATCTTGTGACATACTTTGTATGAATGATGATGGTTGAACTATTTGACATGCATCATCACAAGAAATTATTAACCTATAGCACTGCTTTGATTTCTGGAGGTAGACTTGAATGGGTTGTCCACAAAATGCCTTAAAAAACCCCCAAAGGATACAATTGTAAGCAGATACACTGCCACCCCAAGTTAAGTTGTAGTAACTAACTCCACAAATGCTTATGTGTGTCTGATGAAGCTTAATACAGTGTTCTAGACTATAAATAGGTCATTTAACGTAAGGAAAATATCACCTGATCCCTAACAAACCACTAAGACGAGAAAAAATATTCAATGAAGGAGAAGGAAAAGGAAACCGCGGAAAGCAGTTTGCAATTTTACAAGTATGGGTTTTGTAACCAACAGCACCATGATGATAGATGCTCAGTTATGTGAAGTATGCAATTCCAGATACACATGGGAGCCAGCCAAAATAGTTTACACTTGCAAAATGAAAATCAACATTTTCTCAATGACAACAATTTAGTATAAGACAAGAAGTAATCAACATTTATTAACAATATCTCCTCCCAGAGAGCAATGTCTGATTTTGTTTGAGAAATGAAAAGCACATTGACACTATGAAGGCTGTTTAATTCTGGTAAAAAGTCAGACAGACAGACAGACAGACAGAGACGACAGAGGGAGAGAAAAAGTATATGGACCCATCAACCACCCATGAGAACAATGTAGCCAAAGTCATATCTACAACAATGAGCACATTGTTAAGGATAAATTCTTTACCAGATCCCGCAGCTCCAGAGAGATCTTCTCATGTTGCTTGTTGAGATGAGCATTCAGGGCAGCTTGGAATCTCCTCATCAGGGGCTGAAAATGAGGCACAGGTAAAAAAAATAAGATTATTGAAACACGACAGAATATATGATCTCGACAAAAATTTCAAAATGAACTTAGAGAAGCATAAAAAAAAATTTGAATATTCACAAGGTTTTAATTCTGAAAACCACTGACATTAGAAGTATTAATACACTTGTGTGTGCATACATAGACAAACACATACAAACAAACATAAACACATAAGACTAGCATCTCAATTACAACAGTGCATTGCAAAAGTGACCACTTAATATAACATAGCATGACGGCATCACACTAGAAACACAGGAAAATACAGGAGAAAAAGATGTGTAGTCAAACATGCACAGAGTGAACACACACATAGCGAACAAATTTTGATGTCCCAAATTTTCTATTACACACATACACACAGACACACACACACACACATATACAGTAGTCAACACCTAAGATCTCGGTGCTCAGGAGCAAGGTAAATACGGGACCTTAGGCGAACCGAGACCTTAGCCGAATGGCCAGGGGAAAGAATCCACAGTAACTCATGGCCAGGCCCAAAATCTGTACAATGATCTTCCCTTACTTTAAAATGAACTGACATGACTACTGGGCACTAATATTTTTTTTTCTGAAGTCAGTTTTTCCTTTTTCTGTTTGTTTGGGGGAGGAGGGGTGGGGCTTTAAAAAAAATACTGTGTCAGCTGGGAACCAGTTGACTTCAGGCAATGCCCCCCACCAAAAATTTATTGCTTTCCATCTCTGACGGAGTTCCCCACTCAGGTCATGATGCAATATAAATCGTTGAGATGTGACCACACCGACTAAATAAAAAAAAAGAAGAAAGGCGTGTTCACTGCAAACGGATGACCACATTACACAAACGCGATCGGACAGTCCATGAGTAGGGGCGCCAGTCTGTCTAGGAAGTTCGAGCACAAAACAGAAAGACGAGAGCGATGGTCGGGGAAACATAAGCGTCCACGAGTTCACAGTTTGATGGAATGCAGTCTGATGCTAGCTGGTAGGCTCTCCGCACCAAGTGTGTGATTTAAGATGAAGTGGAGGGCTCAGGTGATCGGGGAAAGCAATGCATCCATGAGTTCACATCTTGGTACGATCCCGTCTGCGGCAAACATTGTAACCGCTTATCGAGATTTACAACAGAAGTGTGATCGCATTCATGACAGTGGATGATCCGTGACGTGACAGACCCTACAATGATTGCACATTCTCGCTACTTTGTCGACCAACTGAGTGTGTCCAGGTTTCTTCTTTTTTTTCGTAAAAAAAAAAGAGAAAGAACCCCCCAAACTCAACTATGACCTGAAAAGCGGGATCTTAACTGAATGTAGCTCCTTCAGCGTGGGTCAGAGTGAGATCTTAGGGGTAACTTTCATATATAGTAAAAATTCTGTTTTTTCAAAACAGCAGGATCTTAGGCGAACCCGGACCATAAGCAGTGGAATCTTAGGCGGAGACTACTATATATATTTATATTTTCTTTATATTTAAAATCCGTACATAGTGAATTTTGTAGTTAAGAAAAGCTTTCCTCGTCCCACCCATTTCACTATGAGCATGCTAGAATATATAATTTTAAAATTTCTATGCCACTAAAATACATCATTCTTCAGCTATATATATCATAAAAAGACTGCACTCACATGGTCAGGATCCAGCACAACCATATCAGTCTCATTATCGCTGTTGTCATCCGTGTCAAGCCCCTCCTCATCATCATCCAAATTGTCCTCCTCGTCATCATCTTCATCATCATCATCATCGCCACCACCTCCACCACCACCATAATAATCCCCATCATCCCCACCACCAGAAGATGCCCAGTGCTGAACTGCTTGGGTGGGCGGTGGCTCATGGGTGTCCATGGCATTCATGTTTAGAGGAGTTAAACCTTTGTTCTCTACTTCCATCCCTGGTGCATCTGAGGAAACAAGAGAAGTTTATGATGGTAACTCTCATAGACAGGCCATTGGCCTTTACGGTCAATTGTAGAAACAGTGATTTTGATTTTAAGCAGGTTATCATTTTTAAACTGTTATTTTACCTCAAGTTTTTAGCATTTTAAATCTGATTATTGACCTGGGCCAAGCTGTGCAGTGAACTGTTATGAATGCAACCAACTTGTGTTTCGCGCACTCACATGACCTTATGCAGTTGCGAGTGCCGTAAAACTCTAACTAAAACTAAAAAAAATAATTAAAACTCTCATATACAGAGGCTGCAGAAACAAGAGAACCTTATGGTAGCTCTCATAAACAGTGGGGAAAACGTTTTGCCTCTCAGTTTGCACACATAAATAAACAGAGCAAAAACAATAATAATCTAGTCACTCTTGACAGTGAAATTGTATAGGTTTAACGGCCTGTTCACTCTTGAATGGAGGAATAGATAACAGTATGGAGAGCAAATTGTCACTCCTCAGTGTATCAATATTTATGAGAAAGATTATTCTATTTAAACAGTATACATTTTTGTCAAAATCAGTTTTTACTAATCTTTTTAGTTTAGTTTAGTTTTAGTAGAGATTTTACGGCCCTCGCAATAGCATAAGGTCATATGAGCGCAAAGGGGTGGATGTCAACATAGAAGTCCTTAAAGGGAATCAGACATACTCTGCTCATCTCTCTAGCTTCAACAGCACAAAGTCTGCTTCGATTATCAAGGCACCCCGGACATAGCGGGTCACAAGAGTGTGACAAACATACAAAAGAAGTAGAGGGAAATGATGATAGTAAGGATTGTGAAAGAAAAAGAAGCAGTTCCCTGTCGCAGTTCAGTCACAGTTAGGAGCATGACATGGATGAGTCAGCCCATTTGCAATTCCACTGTGCATAAGATAATGCCCCCCCCCCCCTTTGGGAATGGCTTAAAGACACTTCAGTCAGTAGTGGTGCCCCGGTGGGAGTACTAATCTTTACAGATCTTGCACAATAGTAAATTTTTGATAATCCATTATCAAGTAACAGATTCATGTCTCTGTTCTTGGTTGTATCTTCTTCTTTTGAATTTATAGGAATCTTAATGACACCAGCTTGACATCGGAAAATAACTAGCATTGGAAGAAAGATTAACAGACCCCCCAAAAAGAGGACAAACTCAAAGCTGCAGTCTTGCTGTTAAAAATCATGTTGAAAAAAGACAAAACAGAATCAAGTAACATATCAAGACTACAAAAACCCAGCACAAAACTTACAATAGATGATGGAAACCACCATTGCATCATTAAACATCCAATGATTAACACAACAAGACACTAAAACAAAAACATTCTAAAAGATTTAACACAAACCAAAATTACGTAGAGACAGAATAACAAGAGTAGGAAAAAAAAATTGGTAATCTTTTTTTCAGTTCTACTTCCATCGTTTTCATATATCTTGTAAGTATAACAAATTTTGACCAATATTCAAATGAAATTCTCCTGTGAGAAATCAAGAGCCCAAGAAATAACATTTACAGAAAATGGACACCCCCCAAAAAATAAGAGAAGGAATACGTTTTACAATTCTGAGTGAGATTTTGAAAAGAAAACCACTGGTACCATCTAGTTTGACAAAGAAAAGATAAATCAATGAACTGCTAGAAGCAGTTCCTGGACATTATACCAAACAATTCAATTTACATTAGTTTTTCTTTTATGATCATAATACGGATAAAAAAATATAACATAACAGGCCAAACATTCACACATAACGTTTTCAACAGCAGGAGGCCTTCAAGAACTGAAGAGGAAACAATGTTGAATGTGTCACGACGCAGTGGAATCAGGTGCTCGTCAATTTTTGGGGATGAGGAGTTATTGGTTACATCTTAAAGCTTTTGTTTATTTGTCTTGCTTTTAATTTAAAAAATACCCATGTATCTTGAATAGAAGTCGAGACATTTGGCATTGAAAGAGGAGGGAGTTGCCTGGTTTCAGAAGTAAAATTAGCGAAAAAATGGATGCTAAAGTTTGGGGACTTCCATAACTTGAGAGTCCTTGGAAACTGAAAATTACGTACATGTTTTTGAGCCTTAAATATCGTTTTTCAGTGAAATTCACACAAAAATGTGTTTTTAAATGGATATACAAGGTATGAGCCAAAAAACAAAAATTTGACAAAATTGCCTAAAAGCCATAAACATGTTGATTTCTTTGATTTCATTATTTGGACGAGCACCTGATTTTATCATGATGTCTCACCAATGTTCTCAATAATGAACGACTATATTTGTTAACCTTTTCTCAATCAACAACAAGATGATAGGCCTACTGGGTAGCATAACATAGGACAAAAGTGATAATGCATCGTAATTTGACAACCCACTGAGAAAATTCTTAAAGAAGACATTAGGGGGGAAAAAAAGAAGCAAATAAAAAAAAAGACAGAGAATGCAACAACTTAGTTCACCTCTCCAACTACCATTCCCCTTCATATCTATGAAACTGGAGAAGCAAAAATACATTGATACATGTATTCAAATAAGAATGAACACTACTGATGATACCGGTACTCTTAATATAAAAACCTTGAATTGAAAAATACATGGAACAGCATAAATCAACAAAACTGTAATGAACAAAGATAGATTAATTGTTTGTTGAGAATTTAAAAAACAACAACTTATAATGGGGTAAATTAGGACATTATGGGTTTGAACTTCAAAATTGTGAAATGACATTAGAGAGTAAAATGTCAAACTTAATACCTCACCTTTAGCAGTCTCCAACACTGAGGCTACAGTTTCCTTAACCATGTCTTCCATCAAATGCATTCTATTCAATTTCATTAGAGATACTGACCATTTTGGGCCCAAAGGATACTCTGTAGACACTGGATTAGAGACAGGCTCTCTTCCTTAAACAGTAAAGAAGATTTTACGATTCTTGTATGCTTTAGCGCACATTCAAATACAGTATGATGAGTATTGTTTATACTGTGCTTTTCACTCCTTTAAGTAAGCATGAAATATACTGGAACTTTATGAAGATTACAATTAGAAACATTGACTTTACTTTATGTTATTTGTTCTTTAGGGACTGAGATTTGGGTGAAATCTATTATATTATCACATTCCTCTTTCCTCAGAACATGTGTCCCAATATGCTAAATCAACTGAGTCTGAACAGACAGATTTTGATAACAAAACTCTAACCCTGAATGGTCTTACTGTAAACGACAACCTGGAATAATGGGATTGATTTTAGGGACAATAATAGCACCCAGCCGAAGTAATGATCAGGAAAAGCGTTTCAAATGCCAGTGTAGAGTACCTAAAAACTCAGCGGAGGGGGAGACCCTTCATTCACAATTTTATCATTCAATCCTAATAAATCTTATGTCAGACATTGAATTTGAACTAAAATACAATTAAGCCAGAGATGAAATAGTGCTAAAAATGATTATACATGAGGAAAGATCAATGAGATTTCCAAGTTAAGAAATGCTAATAAGTTTACTATTGTTGATAAACTTAAAATCCTGTTAGACTAGACATGATTTCAAAGGGCTTAGCTCCCTGTTTTGACTGTGATCTCTGGAGAAATAGTTGCTTTCAAAGACAAGCGGGCTGACCCAGATTTTGGGGATTCCAGAAATCTTCACCAACACAAAAAATGGGCATTGCCTTACCTTTAGGAGAAGTTTGATTTCATTTGTGTGTATATTTGTTTGGTTATGGAGAAAACTCTCCTTGTCTTTTAAAGAAACTGAACAAAGGGCAAAAATTTAATCCTTACCTTTGATTTTCTCAAAATAGCATTTTCCGGTATAGCCCCCTTATTGTGCTTAAAAGCGACCAAATATTCCTCGAGAAATAAATTAAACTCTTCTCAAATTTAGACCTTAAACTGTTATGGGGAGACAACCAACTGTGCCACAGTGGCTGACATAAGCTAAAAATGCATTTAGACAAAACTCAGTAATCTAAATTTCTCCAGGAGTTTAGCTAGATCTAGATCTAGATCTAGATTCTAGATTTCTAGATTCTAGATCTACCCAATTTAGGATGGACCATTGACAGAACATTGAACGGCAATCTGAAAATGTCTACTGCTTTCATAAAAAGCACATAACTTCTTTACATTCTCACACTCTCAGTCTTTCATATTGCACAAATCAGAAAAAACAAGCTAAAGGCCTTGTTCATAAAACAAGATCCCAGGGCATCAACATTATGAGGCTGCATCACCTTTATCACTTCTTTTAGGCCTGACAACAGTCAGGATGTGCATCCACTGACAGTGCAGTTTTGTGCTCAGGACTGATTGATTTTCATTGTTTTTTCCCATCATTTTAATTTCAGTGAGCATTTCCATTTACCTACTTCTGCATCCATTTACAGGCATAGATCATAAACAGAAATTAGATACATAAATCTATAAATAGTAAACTCTTTTTTGATTGCCGTACTTGATGGCACCTCCAAGTACAACTGACCTTATGTTTACTGTTGTTTTTCTCATTAAAGTGAGTCACATGCTGATATCTTGGATAAGTCTATGGTATCTTTCAATCACAGTTACAATACATGTATTTTAGTTCTAAATCGGGAACAAATTTCATGGAAAGACAGTTTTTTTTTTCCTTTGCTCGTTGGAAAAGCTAACGAAACTTCCATTGGTGTGTTATTTTGACTCAGTTGGACTATATCTCCCCAAACTTTATTCAACTTGACTAATTACATTAAGCGTGATTTTTCACAGACAATAAGTCTGAAAATACGAAAGGGACAAAAATTGAGTAAATTTAAAGCACCAACTGCCGCTGAAAAAAAGTACATGAATGAAACAAATAAGGAAAATGAACATGCCAGCACCCTATAGTACCTTCCATCATTGATTCAGATTTGATTCTTACTACATCCCATTTAACACCAGAATCACGGTCGTCCTGTGATATCACTGCTGACATTTTTGCCATGGTAGAGATGTCCAGCTGACGATATTCTTCCGTTTCAAAAAATGCTGAGGAGCAACACTATTTTTTAAAAAGACTTTCTTGTTATGTCAAACAGTTGTCTCTTTGTGAATCACAAAAGCATATTTTGACGTGAATTTAAAGTCTCCGTGAACAGTTTCTACGTTCTAAAATTTGGGATCCTAATACAGTTCCCCAAATTTTATTGAATTTCTCCAGCATAGCCAAAATTAATAGAGCTCCGCAATCTTAAACTAGTTTAAAAAAGTCTTTGAAGCAAAAAAAATTCCCAGACTATTCCCTGTCTTAAATCATAGTACTTTATTAAACAAAATGAAAAAAAACACCAACCCCCCCAACCCCCCCCCCCCCCAAAGGCAAATAGTTATGCAATTCTATAGAAAGAAAACTTAAAAAGGACCTTACACACAAGCAGAGTAGCTATCTTTTAAGGTGATCATAAATATTGCATGGTTGTGAACACATGCTCTTGCTCAGCTGTGGCATATGCCATAATCAGTGTGCCTCTGTAGCCTGCACACATTTGTGAGGCATCATGGTGAAATCAGGCGCTTGTCAAAATGATAAAATCGAAGAAACCAGCAATTTTCCACTGGTTTGGCAAATTTTATTGAATTCTAGTTTTTAGACTCAACACCCATTATGTCCATTAAAAAATACATTTCTTTGTGAATTTTACTGTAAAATGTTGATTAAAAGCACAAAAAAGGTAAATTTTATATTTCCAAAGACGCTCAAGCTATTGAAGTCATCAAACCTTGGCGGCTATTTTCTAGATAATTTTACCTCTAAAACCAGGTGATCCCCACCTCCTTCAGTCGATAATGTTTAAACTTTGATTAAAGATAGATAGATACTTTTTAAAAAAATTGAATACCTGACAAATAAACAATTAAGATGATACCAATAACTCTACATGCTCAAAAAATTGACGAGCGCCTGATCCCACTGTGTCATGACAAATATAGCTGATTCCAACTCACAAGCATTCAGTTCGTCAGTTACCACACGAAATTGTAATCATATAGGAAAACGAAACAAGGCAAACAATTGCTCTCATACCTTAAATCGTAGATCTTAGTCATATAACACCCAAACAATACCAAAAACAAAAGATCATCCTCGAACACTGGGTTGAAAGTCATTGTAAAAATCTTCATGTAATGCTATGATTTAATAGATATGGGGTAAAACATACTGATGCGTTATAATACAGTATAACACGGATAGCTTGAATTTGTTGGGACTGGCCTTGGTAGTTCGAGAGATCTGTATTTCGAGGGATACGTGAACAGTGTCATGGCAACGGTTGCGTCAGAGAATCAAGGGAAGCAACAATGATTGGTTCAGACAGAGATTATTCTTTTATCGGCCACAGTCCTAGATCATACAGGTTAGATCTATGCCTATTGACTTGAATTTGAAATTTGAGAATGAGAAACACGATGAACAACGCTTTCAAGTTCAGTCGGTAATGAGCCTACCGGTACCAAGACAGTTTAATTGCATGGGTCAGAGTGAGCGGTCTTTAGTCTGCACCAATCGAACGGTGCTTTTTCAAATTTGTCAAAATATACAATTTTGACAAGATAAGCATATATATCGAAACAGTAATCAACAACACGATGACGAAAAATGCAGCCCTACCCCACCTCTCCCACCAAGCATGTAGTATTTAGCGAAGAGGGGTAGGGCAGCCGATCGTGTAATGAACAACCCCTCCTCTCGCCTGCTCCACACAAGCCAAGCCAGGCCTAGGACCTCGAGCAGCGCACTAAAAAAAGCACAACTAGCTGCTTCTGTGTTGGGGTGGCATTTTATCGAACTTGACTTTTTCCGTTTTTTTAATTATATAGGCCCGTTATTATTTTGTCTCAAGTGCACCTCAAAAGACATTGACTTTAGACCTCTACGGCAACGTAGTTAGTTCGACTTCGACTGTTCCGTGTTTGTGTTCGAGCTTCCTGTAATTTTCTTAAAAGATAAAGGAAAAAAAAAAAAAGCGTGACCGCAGGCACAGTTCGACGGATGCGTGATTTCAAGTAATTTGTGTTCGACCTATCCGGGTTATACTGTATTAAGCCGATTCATCGCTTCCATATGTTACATGTAACAACATGAGTGAAACAAAAATGTTAGCAAAAATTTCAGAGAAAAAGGTTTTACTTAAAGCCTGGACACAAGAAATTTGGGTTGGATGTATCCAACAAAGATCCTTATTTACCATGAACATATACCCACACGCAGTGACCATCACATCCAAAATCACAACACACAAAGACACAGAAACAGGAAATGCATTTACAAAGCAAAAAAATTTAAAAGAAAAAAGAAAAACAACACAAAGTCACAGGGATCAAAGAAAAGAAGACGTAAAGACATATCAAATAGAGATAAGGATGTAGGGTGGGGGGTGTTAGAGCAAGTAAGATCATAGACAGATTTCAGTTAAGAGTTTGTGAATGTTCAACTAAGGTAGAACAAACGGCATGGAAGCGTCAGAGAGAGAGTGAGAGAGAGAGAGAGAGAGAGAGAGAGAGAGAGGAGAAGGAAAGGAGAAGGTAATTTAATGTCCTTCTCTGACAGGATACAAGCCAAGAAGCTGAGAGCCCTGAAAAGTCTACAAACAACCCAAGTTCAGTTCCAGCGCACTGGGGATTCAAACTGGGGTAATCAGTAACTTGGCTGTATTATGGGAGTTTGTGACATAACACCCTCCCCCACAAAAAAACACCCAAAAAACAAAAAAAACAAAACAAAACAACTGAGAGACTACACACCACAAGATAAGCACATCAGGTGACAAAGCGCTGAATAAAAGCTTAATCTCTCCATTTCGCATGAATCAAAAAGTAATTCCACATTAAGGGAATAATGATAACTGTCTAAAATGAACAAAAGGGGAAAAGGGACTTAATTAAGAACTAATAATGTTAAAAAGCCAAAAAGTACTTATTAGTTGAATACGTTCTCTGCCATAACTAAGCATGTTATTGTCCACAATTGATATAATGAACAGATAACAAACTTGTTTTTCATAAAAAGAAAACTAAGAGAGATAAAGAGAACATTCTACCCACTTGCCACCGGTTTTCTCTCAAAGATTGTTACTAAGTTATAAGACAAGCGTACAACAAGGAACATCAACACATCACATGCATACATTCCTTTCTCAACAACAACCATAAATGTTTGTAGCACCCTATGTAATGTACCTATTATACTCCAATTACTCAATGTACTATACTCATATTACATTACTATGTCCATATTGCACAAACTCAATTACCTGTTCCTATACTGTTATGTCTGTTCGCACTGAGTAAAAGATCTCGGTCATCAATGTCCTATCATACATGAAACCAGTACTGTCTGTAATATTGTTAAACATAAAAATCTAGACCATGTCTGTTTCAATATATGAAAACTCTCCGCTACATGTCTGTTTCAAAATCAAAATGTTATGCTACATTTCACAATCTCCTGACAGACACATAAGAAAAATCTGATTCACAGAAAAAAATAAATCCGGGTCACTTACCGTCCGCCAAAGACATTGTCTCCTGCCCTGGCTGAGGGTCTTCAGGTACTTCTGGCTCCACAGCTTCCTGCTCTTCCTCATCTCTCGGAGGTTCCCTGACCGACCTTTGAGAGGAGGGCCGGGAACCCTGCCTGGAGCCTGCTGCAGATCCAGCAATTGACCCTTTGGGGGACCCTGCTGCTGATCCGGCCTTTGACCCTTTGGGGGACCCTGCTGTGGACCCAGCTACTGAACCTAAATATGATAAAATATGTTACTTTCATTGTTTTCTTTTTCCCCCAACACAAAACCTATAGAAAGGGAAACAAGCATATCATATCAAAATACAACAGTTTACCTCTATTGTCAAAATGACGATGGTGAAGAAAGACTAATGATTATATAAATATGTAATAGAAATATTTTCTAACAACAAGAAAAAGCCAGGTATTTTCATATGTGAAGTATATTTTAGTATAAACTTCTTTCTAAAGCATAGGGATATTATTTTAAGTTACAAATTGTTGTATTCCATATGATTTCAACTTTCATAATCTCATAATAGATATAATTTTTAGTTCCTAACACGATCTCATAAATTGTAAAATAACAACTCACCACACATTATCACAAAGTCATGATTATGTTCTTTTTTTTGTCAGAGAAAACAGCAAACCATATATCTATATACAACAGAAAGACTTTATTTGAAATCCATACAATAATATAGGCTATTTAAATGATTTAATATAGTTGACAGACAGACAGACAGACAGACAGACAGACAGACAGACAGACAGACAGACAGACAGACAGACAGACAGACAGACAGACAGACAGACAGACAGAC